ATAATATTAAAGCGTGAATCCATGGTAACGGGTTATTAGAGAAATGAATATTGATAAAGGAAATCGTCAGATTGATTGTGAGTCGCGAGCCGTTAAGACGTGTACGAATTTTAATAAATAAAGTTATTTTCGTCTTGCTATACAACATTGTTTTTTCAGATGAAGCAACGTTTCAACTTAACGGTAATGTCAATCGACATAATTATAGATTTTGATCGGATACAAATCCTTATTGAATATTGGAATTTCATACTCAATATTAGCAGAAAGTAAACGTTTGGGCATTTTAAATAATACTTTGATAGGTCCATTCTTTATTGAAGGTAATTTAAATGCTGCAATATACGAGGATATGTTGAGAAACCAAATAGTTCCTGCGATAAGAGCCATTGTTGATGAAAATATTCCACTAAAAAAAAAATTCTAGTTATAAAGTGAAATTTCCTCTAATCCCATATTCCAAGCGAAAAACTTTTACAGAAAGAGTATTCCTCTTCCAATAAAGTGAACTGTTTATCTAAAATTTATTAGATATTATTTTTCCTCTTGTATTAAGAGGAATATGTTTATTTCAAGCGGAATGCTCTCTTACGTACGATACGAGTAACACGAAAAGCAATGTGTATCGTTCCTTGACAATTGATTCAAATGTTGCACTGCATTTGCGAAAACAGACGCAAGTTGTGTTCCGTTATTCATTGCAAATACTGAAAAATTACAGTATAAATAATGTGAATTATAAATCTGGATTTATAGTACAAGACTTGTATTGTAAATGCAAGACAAAATTTTTCTATTAGAATATTGTGCACAGTATATTTTTCTCTTAATTTCAGAGAATTCTTCTTGAGGCCATATACAAGAATAAAATCTTTTAAGATTTAGCGGATTCCATTAATATTAAAATTATTTTTTTGAATGCAGGTTGATGCTGCGCCACATTATGGAAGAAATGTCCGTTACTATTTAAACGAAATCTTCGTTGAACAATGGATAGGGAGGAGAGGTCCAATTGAGTGGCCAGCTCGATCGTCAGACCTCTTATCTCTTGATTATTTTTTATGGGATTACCTGAAAAGTAAAGTTTATACGACAAAATCACAAAATATACATGATTTACATTTTACATCATCGAATCCTTGATGAAGCTGCACTCATTCCCAGGGATTACATCAGGAAACCTGTTTCAGGATTTTACAATCGGCTAGCACACTATCAAACTATGAATGATGAACATTTTAAAAATTTATTATAAATTTTTATTATAAATTTAAAGATAGTGTAGGTATATTTTCGTTTTCGGCTGATGAGCGTATATAAATTGTCACTCGATCAATTGCGTTCCTGAGTTCTCGTAGCTTCGAGAAGGAAATATTCGGCACAGTAACGAACTTCGTTCCCGATGATTGGTCCCGCGGAATCGTCTAATAACACGCAATTGGTATCCTCCCGCTACTCCTCCCCGCGGAACCCTGACCCGAGATACCAGCCCGCAGTCTGTTGCGAGATTTCGGAAAAACTATACGATGAGTCATCCTTATGAATAAAGTTTCATTGTTTAAACCCACAGTAGATTATCAGAAGTGGAATCGAGTTTTACGATACCATAAAGTGAAATAACGTCTACTAATGTGACATTGAATGACCTGCATGTGTTGACGTAAAATAAATGTTAAGAAAAACCTAATTGCTATCTCTTTTTGTATTTTAAATATTGGTTTCTTAAATGAAACAAAATAGCGCGCTCCTTGAACAAAATTTGATACGTATGTCCTTTTTTTAACAAAAAACAGTTGTACAAATTAAACAATTAAACCGAAGTGGTACCACCTCTTATTTTTTACAATTAAAACTTAAGTACTATCTCTTTTTATTCTTTAAATACTAATCTCTTAATTGACACATAATTATTAAAAAATAAAATTTAAGCAATACCATCTTATTTTTACAAAATAAAAGTATTGTTATCTCTTTTTGTATTTTAAATTCCGGTCTCTATTTAAATGATATGTATATCACTTATTTTACAATATAAAAGTATTACTATCTCCTTGTACTTTAAATGAAAGATTTGATATCAATAAAAGGCGCCAATTTATAATCCCATAAAAATTAGGTTTCCTTA